TAAAGGGAAGACAAGTCTCATTGAACATCTTTGGATTAACTTTATCTCCTGGGAGAGTGGGAAAATGTGGCCTGCACACTTCCGTTTCCCCTACAGATAGCTATAGGACCATGAGTAGAGCCACAGAAGATTCAAAGTCTTTGGCATCATATTTCTTCTCTGTTTCTACTGAATATTAACTAGCTGCCTCTGAGGGACAGTACTTTGCATCCTGGCCAACACAGCTATATGGACTTACTTTTGCTTAGCAAGCTGCAAAGTGAATTTTAGCCTGATAGCACTACTTGGGTCTTTTATATGGAAATAAATTCATATTTGTATTAATTTTATCATACCATAGACATATAAATGCATTATAAATGTCAGCTATTCTTTTGTTGGCTACATGTTGAATTCTTTAGAATACAGACTCATTTGTTGTGTATTATTAAAATACTTGATTAGAAAGATCCCAAAGCATGTGGCTGACTTGCATCTCGTTTGATATACTACTTAACTCCATAGACTTGCACAAAGAAAATCCTTATTTTTCTGACAAGCCCTACATAGCTGCAGCACCAGACCAAACAGTGCACGGAACTAGATGGAGGAGAAGAGGAGATGTTGGCTTGCAAAACAAGGCAAACTTAACATGCACGCAGAAAGTGCCAGGGGGCCTGGAGTGTTCATCCAGTACAGCTCTCTGAATGTCCCAGCCTGAAAATGCAGGATCTCATTCTGTTTGCTTAGAAATGACAGGTTGAATCAGCACTGCCAGGTTTGAAATACATCTGGAAGAATACAAACTGGAAGTTTTAAGGATTTCTGACCAGGGGTTCAGTGCACAGTGCCCTGCCCCACGTTGATTTACGTTATTGAGTGTGGTATCTTTGTGTGAAATACAGCAATGACAGCATTTTTTTACTGTAGAAAGAACAGGAGAAAGTGTTGTTATACTAGTGATTTTTAAAGATGTATTAATGTGCTGAAGAAGGTACAGAGACTTACTGCCTATAGGCTTCTCGGTTTTACCTTCTGGAGAGAGGTAAGAGCACAGAATCATCCTGACTGACATGGGCTTGTTCCAATGTTTTTCTCATCACTTCTTACCTTATAACTGCCCAGAGACATTTATAGGTTTTGAATTCAGGTTTCTATGTTCTGTGAAGTTCTTCCTGTCTCTTTTTTTCCCCCTCCTTTCTTTTTATCTGTTTTTGGCCCCCGATCTAAAGAAAATTAGAGAGGATGGAGGTGGGGAGGAGATGGGACAGAATTCTGTTTCACAGTTGTTCCTTTTTTTACAAGTTAAAGCTCACAAAGGAAACATGAATGTGTCTCCATCTTGTAAGCATCTGTACTACTACTACCAGCCCACGGATCAAAAGCTTATTTAAGGAAATAGCTAGACTTTTTTGTATATATTTTAGGGCTCCCTTCTTCCTTTTATTTTATTTTAATACAAAATTAAGGACACTCCAACATGTTGCCCATAAGAGTTCTGTTACAGGTAATTAAATGTAAGTTTACACATTTAATCTACTTTTAAGAGCAAGAGAGACTGGTAAATGACCCAGTTAAGGAAAGTACTCAGCCTAATTGGATGTAATGATTGCTTGCTGGTGTTTATTACTGTACTAAGAGTAGACGTGTAGTCTGTGATTCTAATTTGGTTTAAAGACAGACCTGTAGTATTTGCAGCTATCATCAGAGTTCCATTGTTTCAGTTAACATCATGAAATAGGCTTGTGATCATTTGAGAGTTTAAATGTATTAGAATGGAAGGAACACTGTTTTTTCAGTTAATACTGGTGTCCAGTTATCTCTCCAGACTGTTTTACCTACAAAAATATCTTAAGCTAGATATGCTAACACGTTTTTGCCCGAGGAAAATATAGATTTCACATATTTATGTACATAATGTGACAAATTAACGAAAACTAAATTTACCAATGAGCTTATACCTTCTGATTTATCTGTGAATATTGTCTTCAGACTATGAAATCACCACATTAATGTTTGATTTTTATTGTTTCTGTATCCTCTAAAACAGTTGAGTTCCTCACTAATGTAAAATCCTTGAGAGAGCTGAATCAAAGTCCCAAGATTTTAAATTTCATTAATGCTTATTACTAAAACCTCCCTGATTATAGACACCTTATTGCCATTTGCACTCACAATTCTGGGCTTCCAGGAAATTATATCCGGGTGGAATGTGTCGTATCCCAGGGTGTTTACTATAGGAGATATTTGTTACTTAAAAATAGAACACTGGAGCTTATGCCTGGAGGAGCAGCACTTGGACTTCAGAACACTTACGTAATTATTCTTTATTTCATAAGTTCTCAGAATGATAAATTAAAACAGAATTGACTTTGAAAAGCAAGGCCACTGATGACCAGCCACTTAGCCAAGGTGTCTCTGTGTTTGCTATGATGGATTTGGGAGTTTTAGAATGTAATAGATGACACACAAAAATGAAGTTAAAGCAACATTAAAGTCACAAAAGCCAGGATATTCAGAATGGAGACTTCTGCTTCATCTTAATTCACCCTGTTGTGCCTAGTTGTTATATAACACAGATCACTGAGAGATGTTAGTTTTTTTTATGCTATTACACAGACATAGCAAGGTAATTTAATGGCAGCTTTAATTCTAACTGACTTCATTTATTGTGAAATAAAGGAAAAAAACCACCACACCTGGGTATTATTTTGTTGTATCTTTCAATATGTATTATTGTTAACTGTAGTTTGGTAGACTCTACTATGCTAGTTCTAAGCCTATTGGATGTGTGGAGATGGTAAAATCTTCATAATGTAGTATGTGTAAAGCCATGCTCACTCCTTCTGAAACTTCTGTACTTCAAAATATGAGATTATTGCTCCTCTTGAAAATACATAAAGTTGTAGAGACAGGATGTGTGACCCAGGTAGAGATGGAAAACTGCGACCAGGAAAGGAAAAAAAAAAAAAAAAAGATTGTTCTTGTACCAGCCAAATTCCTTGATGTGTTTGGGGTTTTAGACTAATTCAGCTGCTTACAATTACATCTAATGGAGAAAGAATAAAATAAGTGTTCATAGTGTAGTACTTACCCACAAGTACTATATGGAGCTGAGGGAAGGAATCAGGACAGAGGAGAAAAAGAAAGGAGAAAGATGATGATGAGAACTTTCATTTGTGTTAGTTTGCTTGAGTAGAGTAATATTTGATGCGAAACCCCACATACAACATTCAAAATACAGTGTCTGTGCATTATTCACTCTCTGTGCCCAAACACATACATTTGTATGCCCATGCAAGGTTCTACTCTGTATTTAACATAAAACATCTGTGTGTGCCCATGCAAACATGGGAAGGAAGCAGGTTAGTTTATTACAATGTGTCTTCAACAGAGGTATCACTTTGTTCATTGTTTCAGTGTTATCTAGTGCAAATCATAAATACCTTCTTATGAAATGGATGAATACAGTCTGCTTGTCTGGCAGAGTTTAATGTAAGATCTCTCTTTCTTGGTTTCCAATTCAAATGAATCCTGTTTAAAATTACAAAAAAGCATTGCTCTTGAAGACTCTTAAGAGCACAACACAGCATTGAAGCACGTTTCTAAATAGCTTTCTTAACAGGATGGGGAGTAGGATGCACTGAGAACCTGTTCTTTAATTGGAATATTCATCTTATGTTTTTCATTACCCTTTCTTCCTTTGCCTCTCATGGATGGTTGTTGCTAATGCTCCCCTCCCCTCCCCTCCTGGTGGGCCAGCCAACAGTTCCCTCTGGAGGCAGCATCATTATATCTGCCTGGTTCACTTAGTAGCAGATGGTGAAGAGCAGTAGAGCTGATACACTGCATTTCACAGAAACCAGGATCCTTCTGGTTCCTCTGCAGCATACACAGACTTGCCTGCTTTGAGACTGTGAATTCTTTATGTGCCTCCAGACGAGGTTTCCTTGTTTGCTACTGTGTACATACGTCAGTGTAAGAGTGATTTTTGTGATCTGCTCTGTTGCTGGACAGTGAAGAAACTACTCATCTCCAGCTTTCAGCTGCTGAAGGATCTATTTCCCATTACAAAAAGAAAACAGCTCTGATGGTTTTCATTTTCACTGGTTGACAGGCTTTTTTTCCCCCTCCCCTTTTTTTAATGCCTGCTGTCTGCCAAAGGACAATCTGTTTGCTCTGAGACAGTTTAATGCATGCTGACTACCAGAGGCAGAACTTCCATTGGCTCTGTTACAGGGGTAATTTACACTTTAACAAGGTATTGTGACAAGGTGGTAATTATATTTTTATCACGTCATTATGACATTACCACCTGGAAAGCCATAGCTGATTAATTAGTGGCATACATTAAATTTATAACCCTAGAACTGTAAAGTTATCATACCTAAGTGGCATAATTATGTTGAACAGTGGTGTGGCAGTGAATTGGAGGTGAAGATGCTGAGTATCCACCTATTGCAATAGGTTTAACGAGTTCCAGTAGAGGGCAGGGAACTGCAGAGAAGGAAATATTTTTTTAAAAAAGGAAGAGGGTGAAGCCACTGAAATGTTGAAACCGAATCTAGTAGGGTGGCAGGTTGCAAGGCTTCTTACATATATGTGTTTTTTAAAAAGAGGTGATTTGAAAGCACTTTGATTTACACTAGTTCCTGCTTTTAATTTCACAGCTTTATTTTAGTTAGTTCATGTGCACTTTGGTTTTTACAATGCAGCAATTTCTGTTCAACTTTTGGAGGCTTGGACTGGTCATTCTGGAGGCTACATCACTTCTCTGCAACTAATAGGAAACACTGTTTTTTCCTATGAAAAACCTAGCAATGGATTTTTCTTGGTCTCGTCCATATGCCCACATCCTTATGCAGTAAATACAGACAGAATTATAAACCAAATCTATTTTTGTCCAAATTATCATGTTAAAGGTCAGAGCTCTGGTTTTTAATTGTTTTAATTTTCACTGATGTGCTTTTCAAGGTCATATTTCCAAGTAACTTGTGTCTTATTCTCCCCTTCCACTTTAGAAAATGAAGTGACTACTTTCCCTGTGTTGGTGAGTGATCAGAGTGAAATTGTGGATACCAATGGAGCTGGAGATGCATTTGTTGGAGGTATTTCTTACTTCTTGCTCTTGCTTGGATATTATCCTATTGTTCTCTCTGTATAAAATCTACCATCTTTTCTTTCAACTGTCCTTCAGAATGAGCTTTGTTCTTTTTAGCTTTTCTCTGCATCCTGAAGTTATAAGATTTAATTAAGTTCTGATTTTCAAAGGGAAAGTGTGTTCTGTTACTTTAAAAATAATGTGCCATTATGCTGTACTCTGGTCGTTTTCTTGAGATTAATTGTATCTGTCAGACTGTTGCATAAACAAGCTGCATCAAGTACTTTATAGTGTACAGAAATCCCTCCTGGCTTAAATGTTAACACATTGTTGTTCTTTAAAACAGGTTGTAGTGAATATTAAACAGTATATTAATAAGTGAGCATAATGTCTTCTGATCATGTCAATTTTGGTTGAACATCTGCTTCCAATACAATTATTTGGACATCAGAAAAGAACACAAAGGGTTAATTTGTTAAAACAAACCCATAAAATATCTGGCATTGCTTAATATCCATTTGCAAACTTACTATTTTTTTTGGCACAAGCTCTAAGGAAAAAAGAGGATGTTATGTCTATGCCTGTTTTAAAAAATGATTCAATATAAGCGAAAAGCCAATCTAATCCAAAAGTTCTGTCATTCATTGCACCTTCATACATGTAGTTCTGTGATGCACTATTGCATCGTGAAGGTTCTAATATCCAGTACATAGTAGCTATAAGGAGCTTCATTAGTCACTAATTTACTGGAAACATTACCAAAGAGACTTTATAAATAGAATTGCAGGGCTCAGTCTTGTAGCTGTGAAGGGGATAACAAGCAGTATGTTACCAAATTAAAGCTTCGGAATTGTGTCCTGTTTCAAGAAAGTATTCAACGTAAGCTTAATCTTCAGCATGGAAGTAATTCCATCCTTACTCAAGTAATTAATCCTTACATCACTTAAACCGATGATAAATTTTCAATATATGCTTAAATCTGTCTGAAAATAGGAATGTTATTACTCATTGCTTTGGTGCTTTTGTGAATCAAAAAGGGCAGAAATAGAGGGAAACATGTTAGGTCATATTATTCATAACACCTTTTAGTTTGCGCTTGTCACTCTCTATTGTTCCTAAATCACAAACAAGAATAAATTTGAAACAGTAAGAATGACTTATGACATAAATAAGATCTTCTTCAAGTACTTGTCCTTGTGTACATGTGCTCTGTGTATCAGTTGTGCCAGTAAGCTGCTGTTCTTGTTGTAAAAAAAAGAGAAAAGGTCTTGCCTATTTTGTTTTCAGATCCTGAAAATAAAATAATACTGGGTGGGGTCCAGGTGGGCAATATGGTGGGCATCAACCAAGCTTTGCCTAGCAGGAAGCAGCTTTTCATGTACTCACTATATTTATCTCAGGTTGTATTTCTTCCCTGTTCTTCAGATTGTAGGCATTTTGAAATCAGGACTTTTCTTTTTAATAATCGTACCTTTGGTCTGTCCTGGTTTAGCTGCAGGGAGAGTATTGTAACTAAATAATCAGGCTTTAAGAACTGCCTGGCTCTTACAACCCTTCCTCTTTAAACAGTATCCTTTTCCCTGGTGCTGCCATTACCTTCCTTTTTTCTGTAGAAGGGCTAAAATGTTGACTTTAGTAATTATTCAGAACATCCTGAATGGATAGGCTGATATAAACCCCAACAGACTCTATTCCAAGCTGCTACCTTCCACCAGCAGTGTAAGGAGTTCGCATACATCCTGTCAGGCTGGTCTTGGATCAGTTGTGATCAGATCCTTTCTCCAAGGGGAAAAATCATGTGGAAAATGCTAAACGCTGTTGGGAAGGAAAGAAAATAGGTCTTCTAAAAGATCAACTCATTTTGTCATTCTAAGTCTGTTGAGATAACGTGTCTGGATACAGCAAGCTTCAGTGTATTTGGGGTAATCTTAAGAAAAGTCTTGTGTTACTGTATATGGACATAAATTATTTTCCTCAGTTACCCTACAAATAGCACTGAGGCATCAGAAGCTTTTTGTGTGAAGCAAAAGTGCAGTTCAGTCCAGTGGTAGCATGGCATTGTACAGTTCTCCCTTGATACTGGGGAAGGAAAGTATCACAGCTGTTTTTCCCTCTGGAATGGAAGTTGGCTTAGTAGTTGCAAATCTGTCTGAAATCTCATTGCAGTCAGACACTACCTGAGTATCGGTATGTGGGCTTAGGTTCTTGTTAGACCACATTTCTCGCTGCTGTGACTCACAAAGCAACATGAGCTTTAGGATATCCATGGTTCTTCCATTAGGTCCTGAGATATCTTAGTTCTCCTCTGTCACTCCATAAATAATAAATTGGTCGTTTATTCTCCTCAGAGAACAGATTTTCCTGAGTTTAGTCCAGATGGGAGATTTGTGAGTCATAACAGTCTAGATACACAGCTGATTCTAGTCTTATATACTGTGGTCTCCTTCATGGAGTCGTTTAATTTTCATTCCCATATGTAGGAAATAGGATACTGGACTGGATAGGCTTTGATTTGGTCTGTGTTTCATTTGGGGGAAATGTCTGTATTTTATCTATATCAAATTTTTCATGTGTTTTCAAAGTACATATTTGCAACAGGAAAAGTTCTTTATTGTCTTCTTACCAGAAAGCCCTACACAGTAACATTGGTAATAGTACTCAACATGTGTATCTTCTGTTGATTCTAGCATTGATACAGATGCAGTGTTATTGTTCTGATAGCATTTTTATAATGGAAAGGTTATGCTCTCTTTAGTGTTTTTCTAGCTTTTTTCTTTGATTGAGGTTTTTATCAAGTTGTTACTACTTAGGCAACAGTACGTATATTTTTATTTTAGTGTCCTCGTAGTAAAACGTTTCAAAATTAATCCCTTAACTCAAAAATGCACTCAGTGTTATACTCTCCTGGAAATGTAGTTACTTTATTCAAACAGCAGAGAACAAGAGTCCCATGGCAAAGCTTCCCATACTTCTCTAGGACTGGTATATTAACATGGCTGAACAGTGGGTTTGTTGGAGCAAATGTCTTGGCTAAAGAAGGGAATGTGGGATCTAATGAGAACTAACCCTATCAAGCAGGATTTATTTTACATCAGGAGGTCAGGTTTGTTACACTATCATGTTCTGAAAGGTCTTTCACAGAGGCACTCTCTTCCAGAGGTATAACTCACAGATTGTAAGGGCAGTCCTACTCAATAATTATGCCAACTTGGCAAATCACTCCTCGTGTGTTTCTCCGTGTGAAAGTGGAAAATAAGAAATCTGTTGGGTAGGTTTTTTTCTAGAACCTATCTAATTATTGAAGGTCTTGAAACCTTAGAGTCATGAAAAGGTGTAAAGACACAAAGTCGCTGGGCACTTGTAACTCTGTGAGTTTATTCATGATTTCAATGTTTCTGAACATGAAACCACTGGCCTCCAAGGAGAACTAGCTCACTCCAACAGCTAGTAACAAGAAATAAACTGCATTCTTCAGTTGAAATGTGTTTTTATTACGTTGGCACCAGAAATATCTCTGAATTTCTTGCCTCTTACTGCAGGCATCAAGTCATCTGCCACTCAGGCTGGTGCAATCCATGAATGAGAAACTGGGGTTTAAAATTGCTGCAGGTATCTTTATGCTAAAAGCAGTTCCCTAAACAATACTAAAAGAGTTCTGCCTTTATTGCTTTCCAGGAACACTGCTACCTTTTAGAAGTTTAAACAATAATGATTTACTTTGTAGCATCTCAGCACCTCTTGCTGATTTCAGGGGTACCACAGATTTTTCAGTTATAAATCCCTGAAATACTCATCAATTAAAGTTGCAATTTCACCTCTGGCTTCTGATGACGTTGATAAATGACTTGAGCTTTGCTGACATGGCTTATGTCACAAGAATCCTCTTAATGCAATTACAGCCTTTGTTTGTAGAGTTTAGGGAACAGTCTATTACTTGTTAAATTAACATTTATTTATCACCCCAGTTTGAACTTTTGCAATAATGATAATCAATAATCAAAGCATATTTAATGGCAATAAACAGATTGAAATATGGACAGCTTTACCATGTTACGCTTTCCTTTATGCCATCCTGCTCTCTTTGGCCAGAGTAGGTCTGCCTTCTGTTTGGACTCCCCTTTGTCACTGCCACCGTAACTAATTAAGACAATAAGCATCTTTTCTGATAGTTACTGCCCTTATTCCTTGCAAAATCTCTCCCCTAGAATCTGTCTTCTTAGTAGAACTGGGTAAAGCATTCATAATAAATGAATAGGAGAAGGTGTAAAATCAATGTTTCTTCAGGTTCTGTCAATATAAATATATTGACTTAGTAATCTACTCTGATTTTGTCATATATTGCATGAAAAGTACTAAGAGTATGTAATATAACCACAAATCATTTTAAAGTAGTGTGATGAAGCAGTGACAGAGTGTTCACAGCAAGTGTGTATTACTTATCACCATGCTATAAAGATATTTTTACCATTCTCAAGGAAAAGAAATCCTGAGGTAGAAGTAACTCTTCATTAAGCATTGTACAGTGCCCAATACGAGCTGATAGCAATTTGCCTCTGTCAGTATCAAAGCTAATGTCAATGGCTCAAACCACTTGTCAATTTAAAAATCGCATTGGCAGCTTTCATGTAATGAGGAATCTCATCAAGCTGCTAGCTATAGTTTGAAAGCCACATTCAGAATTTTTTTTGTGCACATGCTTACAGAATAAGCAATTCTCTCTCTTTCTCTTGTCAAACCTAGCGTGTATCTTATGAGGTGGCCAGCTACTGACCCAGCTATCAGAGAACTGCTCTGGTAGAAGACAGAGACAGCAACAAAAGAGGAACTGTCATCTTTCATACGTGCCCTTGCATGAGAGTGCCTCATGGCATCCTTTTCTGTAGAGACCACATGGCTTAGTGGAGATACATTCCTCCTTTTGTTGCTGTTTCTGGTTCCAAACTGGCCCAATAAAGCCATTCCCTCATCTTTAATACAGAGGTTAATTCTAAACATTATTTTTTTTCC